GATGAAGCTGTCCTTCCCCTCTGCAGCGTACTCCTATCTGCTCTCCTGTGGTTTGGATGCAGTGACACGCTGACTGGGTAGCATGAGGAAGACTGCATCGCAGATCTCTGAAATATATTTTCTGTGTGGAAAATGTAGATTAGCTTTCCCTCAGCAAAGAGTGAGCTGGTGTCCTTGAAGCTGTCATAGCTGGGGCATTCCGGCAGAACTCAAGCTACCGTCTAGGAGTAACCACCCTGCGCTAACACTGACCATTGTGCAATTTCGTTAGGAAAACTGCATGTGCTACCACTTTGTGTTATGTGTATATTGCATTTAATGAGGATGAGCCATAGTAAATATTGTAACTGGATGTCATTACAAAATCTGCCTTTGAAAACTAAGCATTCATAGCATGCTGCCTAGTGTTACAGATTAGTCGTGACTCTGGCCTCCTACAAGAGCTGATCAAGTCTTTAACATTTATTTTTACACCGTTGAAGCACAGTTTGCATTTGCCTGAAAATGAAAATAAGAAAGGATCAAACTGACAATAGAGCCTAACCAGAATGAAATAGAAATTTGTAAGATGTAGTACATGCTGCTTTCACAATAAATTGTAATGAACTCGGAAAGCAGTGTGCTTTATCGGCTTATTGTTTCCAGGCAGGGCAGAAATGTATATTTATTGTTTGATTTCAGAGAGTGTTAGCCTCCTGGGTTTTAGAAATGAAAAAGATGAACTTTTGCTACTTCTGTGATCTCTCTGAAATAATTTTAGAGGCATTTTATAAGTCACTGAAGTTTTTAACCTGTCGGTTTACCATAGGATTGTACTGAGAACTGTGCACCGCTGTGAAAACCAAGGGTTTGCAAATGCGTAATGCAGACTTTTGGTCAGCTGTGCCCTGTGATATCTTGACAGGACAATTCAAAAGTCTTGAGAGCAATTTGTGTAAAAGAGTCACCTACATCATATATTTTTTTATAATATTTTGTAAACTACTTTAACAAATCTGAGAGAAAAATACCAACTTAAAAATGCAGTCAACTGTGTCTGGAGAGTCAACACACAAAGTGTGGACAGCAGTAGAAATTATGAACACACAATTTAGCCTCCTTAGGCACTTGATTGCTTTGACTGCTTATGAGCCATTATGAATATTCTTGAGGAATCTTGATGATCTCCAGATTATCTGTAATAATTTAGCCTAGAGACATTAAATTAAAAAAAAAAAAAAAAAACCTCACTTTGGGACAGACTGTGTGTATAGCTAATATATTCCTCTGTTTCCTTCCTACTTACAACTGTTGCAGCTGAAGTCAGCCTACAAACGGTTAAAGCAACAACTCCAGAACACTTGGTTTTTAGAAGACTACTGGCTGCACATAACAGTAAAAATCACACCTTATCTTAGAACAATCGTTAGGACAGAAGAACAAGTCCAGAACCCTTTGTCAAAAACTCTTTCAATAGTCTCATCTGCTAATCTTGAATTCCTTTTGACTATTTTAGTTACTAAGTAGCACTGCAGTTGATTAGATCACATATTAACCATAGCTTCAATAAGTGTAAATTACCAAGAGGTAAAAAAAAGCGGCATCCCATAAAGAATTCCTGATGTAAAGCATGCATGTGTCTTCTGTTTTTCAGAATACTGTTAAGAATTGGGAGATATAATAGTAAAATGGGTATTTTAATTTTCCTCTTAATAAAGTTATCACCTAAAATCATATATTATGAATTCTAAATAGATTTTTGACAGTTCTTATGTCAGAAGGTTTGAAGCAAGTATTACAAAACCAAAAATGTTGACAACTTGAATAGCACTTTCTAGTGGATTTTAGTCTAACACTACAACCAAATAGTAAATACAGTAATGATCATTATGAAAAGTTATTGTTTCCTTTAAAACATAAACTTTGGGAGTTTCCTTGAGTGTTTCTTAATTAGTTTCTTACCACAAAAGGGATGTGTAAAGGGTTAAAAAACCAAAACCAAATAAAATTTAAAGGATCAAAAAAGTCTTAAAGGTCTGAAACTGTATAAGGCATCCTTAAAGTATTAGACCAGTTTTTTACACAGTAAAAGCCAAAGTTTTGTAGTTGAATTCTATGAAAACTATAACTACATGTCTGTAAAAAAAACGGTAAGTTCAATAGTGTCTGCAGTAGGGAATGATGCATACTTTAAATGTTGAAAGTAGCTTAATATCTATGTTTGCCAACAGTAGGCATCCCTGCAAGGAAGAAGCAGGATAGTACTGTCATGAAAAGAATATTCACATACAGTAAACTGAATATTCCTGTGTAAGAACACGTTTTAGTAAATAACTTCTGTAAATGTGGTTTGTATCAGTTACACATCTCAAGAGTTTGCATTGGGGAAGTAAAAACAAATGAAGAGTACTCGAGATACTGTAATCAGGTGTAATGTTTAGTCTTTTCCTCTTATTTGTAAGGTCTGTATCACTTCTCAGTAATGGAAGATGTTGCTCTTGGTGAACCAATAGGAAGGGTGAAAGCAAATGACCTGGATATTGGAGAAAATGCTAAATCATCCTATGAGATTATTGAAGGAGATGGAATGGATATATTTGAAATTACTACAGATGCCCAAACTCAGGACGGCATTATTAGAGTGAGAAAGGTAAATGATATCTGTTAAAAAAAAAATGTTTATTGTACATACAGATACCCAGCCAGCCAGTACTCTGTGAGAAGATGCTGGATTTCCAAGGATTCTGTATCTGTGGACGAGGTGTTAAGCCAGAGAAATGATAAAAAAGAGATGTATCAGCCATGTCCCTCAAAATTGCCATTTAGGTGACAAGTGAGGAGACTTCTATAGAAGTATTTTCGGTGCTGGGCATTTGTTAATTTGGGCTTCCACATGGTCAAATCACACCGATTTTGCTTTCTCAGTTGCAAAGGAGAAGAGTAGATTAGACTCTGCTTTGGTTGTCTTGTAAACTTCCATAAAATCTTGGCTGAGTATTCATCAAATAACTTTTCTCTAGGATTTGAGTTGCTGTATGGCTGGTCAAATACTGTTCACAGAAAAAAAAATTAGCATATTATTTAAATTTTTAAATTACCTGACGTGCAAGAGGCTTGCTCTTCCGTCTTTTCTCGTGTTGAACTCTCTTTGCTCAATGAGTAGTGACTTTGGTGAACTTTGTCAAGGACATCAGCACTGTTTCACACAAGAAGTGCCAAATTCAGGCCCCAAATAAGGCTACAAATCTGTCACATTTTCTATGCTTGTACAGTCTTGATGTTTGCAAGATGAGGAATTTGCATGTAAATGACAGAAGGACCGCCCAGTTAGATACAGGAATATGGGGAGAGACAGCATATCTATTTCAAAACTTGGGTAGTAAACTCAATGAAACATTAATTGCAGACTTAATTTTCATTATTTTCTGGGGAAGGAGAAGAGAGATGATTCTCACGGTGTATTCCAAAAAACTATATGAATATAATTTAGAACACTGGCATAGAGGGGTTTAAATAGGTAGCATAAAGTACTCTAAATGGATCTTTGGTTTTTTTTTTTTGTTAAAAAAACCCCTCAAAACACACAAAAAACCCCAAACCATGACATTCCAGTGGAAAAAGAAAAATCCAATGAGTACAGGTGATTAATATTCAACTTGTACCTCTAATTAAAGAGGTCAGGCAAGAGTACATGTCAAAAGTTTATGTTTTCAGTTTCTCAGTGGGTAGGTCAGCATTGTAGATGCATAATGAAATGATATATATTTATCTAAATTGAGATCTGTTTTCCTAAAGAGAAAATGATGATATATATCCCTGATCTTCCTTACCGTTATTTAATGTATGCTGTGGCCTTTTTTGTAAACTAAGGCAATTAGCCTTTTGCCCCAGTTCCCTTGGCTTTATTTCAAAACTGAGTCTCTAACATAATGTTGTTTCATATATTCATTTTGACAGCAATAATCATTCTGGTTCTACTACAGTAGATGATGTATGGAGGGTACTGTTCACCAACAGATTTCCTCCAGCATAAATTCATGGGCTTTAGACAATGCAGAGTAAATTTTCGATAATGATATTCTGATTAAGTGTGACTAAAGGTATTGGGGTGCCGTCATTTCTGTGAAGCATATGAAAATCATTTTAAAAAAATGATGTAGGAGCTATGATTGGCAAATTGTGAATATGCTGATTGATAAATCACCATTCATAATTATAAAAGCTTACTAATTAAAGAGCTGCTAAAGAAGCAAGGTTTCTCATGTTTACTAGAATTTGTAAGAAAGAGTAAATCCCATTAGAGTTTGACTCATACCTGAAAAAAATCAACAAAATCTGAAGGTATACATATCGAAGGTTTTGACAGACTTCTGAAGGTCCCTGTTTGTGCTCTTGTTGGTATTTGCATTGCAGATTCAGAGTATCTATGTCCTTTTCTTTTTTATCCCTGGGACATTGTAATGCAAATCTTAATATCTTTCCAACGCTTGGCAATTTGCATCTTTGAAATTTGAATCATTGTGAGACACAAGAGAATTATATAGTGAATATACTGATGTGCTTCGAGACACAAACTTGAATCTCCTGTAATGAAAAATTCTAATATTCGAAAGTGTCACAGATTTGGGTTTTATTTGGTGTTTCATTTCTCTAAATCCCCTGTGTTTTCTTCTTTTATGTTTTAATATGGAACCATAAAATAGTAAAAACAGTGGTGACATGGCAGGTATATTGATAGAATAAAATAATCGTTTTCATGTTTCCCTCTCTGAAAAAAAATAAGATACAGAAATAGGAATTGCTGCAATTTTAAGAAATTCCCAAGAGATGTTTGCCTCATTTACCCCCATAAACAAATGCAGAGTTACCTGAAGTGCAGTATTATTGAAGTACTTTCTTCTATGATTAGCTCTACGTTTTTCCACATAATACTTCTCATGTCCAACAAATAATAATTGCTGGTTTTTTGCATTTTTCACATTGTTCTAGAAGTAATAAAATATTTATTCTTTGTGGAGCTAGTGTAATTTTTTTCTTATCTCCAGCTAACAAAGCACTGATTAAATGTGTGATTAGTATGCAAGTCATGTCATCACCAACAAATTTGTAGTATTTATCTGATATGTAATTGTAATGGTGTAATTCATGAGAGTATTTTGATAAATTTCTTGTGAAAAGTAAGAAAACAGAGTCTTGTTTTCTCTCAGGCTGATTAATAAACAGATATCAATATATGCCTAGAAAATTTGCAGGTTGGATTTCTAGGAGTGGGCAGTGATTGCATTAAACCTCACTGAATGTGCATTAATGCACATAACTTTCATCCATCAGCATTATATTCATTTGTTCTTTCTCTGTGGCCATTAGTAAAATGCATTTGTCTTTGTCGTTCTTAACAGCCACTGGACTTTGAGACCAAAAAATCCTATACTCTGAAGGTAGAAGCAGCCAACGTTCATATTGATCCTCGCTTCATCAGTGGAGGACCATTCAAGGATACAGCAACCGTAAAAATTGTAGTAGAGGATGCTGATGAACCACCAGTCTTTTCACCACCTACTTACCTACTGGAGGTGCATGAAAACGCTGCTATTAACTCTGTGATCGGGCAGGTGACTGCCCATGACCCTGACGTGTCTTCCAGCCCTATAAGGTAGTGCTGCTTTAAAGTTCTCTTTGAAAAAAACTGCTGGCAGACTATTAAGTATATTTTCCCACACATTGTATGACACTGTTCTCATGTCTTTTGTATTTCTATGAAAATACTTGTATTGGAATTGGTTTATGATGCCAGATTTATCAGTTCAGATAATTTTCAAAATCACAAAAATACTTCTTGACAATTGAGCAGTGTTATAAGACAGTAAGAATGCAATGAAAATAAGAAATAAGGTGTATGAGGTCTGATCAGTGTGTGTCTCTGCAGTTATTTTAAATAATCCACTAGTTTCTGTACTAACAATACCAAGTTTTTTCCATGTAGTTGTAAGGCTGTCAAAACCAGGAATAGATTTAGCCAAAGGACTACTAGTCCAAATTCCTTTTTTTCATTCTTTGCATGAAAAGTATTTTAAGATTTCAAGATAGCAATTCTACTATTACAGGAGCAAAATTATTCGTCAGAGACAAGTAGGGATCAGAAATGCAGTTACTTTCTTTCCAATTTGGAACAAAATTGGAACATGTCAGGTTCTAACAAAAATACATCAAAACATTGTTTTGTTGGATTAGAATGTTTCTGTTTGTGCATTTCAAGTGTTTATTCTGTTGTTGTATAACACATGATGTAAATTTTATGTATATGTTCTATGATAAACTTTTGAAAATGTTAAAAGTAAGTTAAAAAAATTTAAAAACAAAATTAAAACATTCTGTTCTAAAAATAATGGGCTGTTTTAATACAGCCTGGCCATTTTTTAATTTTTTTTTCCTTTAAAACAGGATTTTTAGGAGACAACAACCAGTTGGATTTCAAGGAAATTATATTTTTCAATAGATATCTGCTCTGTCAATATTTTGTTTAGACAGAGATTTTGTGTGCATTTGTTATAAAAACCCTAGCAACACAAATGAAAATATGAATCACCTTATGTGCTACCAATGCCACATCTGCTGCACATTAGTCTTACAACAAAGACTGTGTAAATTCAGAGAATTGCAGTACCATAAATGAAATAAAACTTGGATATCTCTGAACATGGAAGTAGACTGATATTTGAATCATGAGACAAAACATTAAAGACTTTAGAAAAATTATTATAGAAAACAGTCTGGAAAGAAACTTCTCCTATGGTTTTTTTTTTTGGTTTTGTTTTGGTTTTGTTGGTTTGGGTTTTTTTTCAAGTTTAACCTAATTTCTGTCCAGTACAACAGTACTTAGTATTTTGTGTTTGCTTAGAAGAGATGAAACATATTCTCTGACCTTTCCATCACTTGACCTAAAAGATATGAAGCCTGTCATAGATTTACAAGCAGGTGTATAGATGGGTTACTGGTCTGGTTCCCAATGTGCCCACCTTCTGGAAATACCTGAAGAGGGTTATTTAACAATGTCTTGTGTCAAATGCAGAGTTTTGGCAGGGTTTATTAGTCTGAAATCTCTATATCAGACAAATAAATTTAGACACCTGTAGATGGATGGGACTAGAGGATGCATATGTTGTATGGGGCTTTTCTCAGTGTTGCTGTGAGCCCTAATTGTGGGTGAGCAAAGGCATCTTTGGCTGGCTGAGTGATGATGTGGTATTTGGCCAAATTATGCTCTCATTATCCATTTCTGCAGTGAATATGAGCTCTCTCTTCATATCAGTTGTTGGGTTAGTCTAACTATATCATATCTTTCATAACCTAGTATTTTTAAAATAAGCAGCAGAATTTCTTGTTCATCGTTATTTGCTGTTGTGCTGTGCATGCTGCTTGAGGGCCGGGCTCACTTTTAAGCCTGATGGTGAACAGAGTTTACAAATTTGACTAATAATTGTAAGCATGGTCAGTAGTTTGTCTTATTCTAGCCTAGGCATTTCAGCAGGTGCGTCACTGGCTCACATCCTACCACATGTAGACCACATGCATCCCTCTTGGGAAAGGGACCTGGTGGATTCAGCTGAGCTAGCTGTGAAGCTCTACCGTAGTTTATTTCATAAGGGTGGTACGTTCTGGCTTATAGGTCTGGGGCAATTAGCCTTGGAAGATCATTATCTATTAGCATACAAATCTATTGATAGCAGCAGCACTAATTTCATGTTTCTGTTGTTATTTTATAATCATGGTCTATTTATATGCAGTAAATTATCTTGGATAAAGCATGATCCAAGTGCATAGAAAAAAGCACGAGTAATAATCTTTCTTCCTATACTGCATCTGCCCTCCTATAAATCACTGCCCTTCAGTGTCTTTCTCTGTGGAGAGATAAGCTTCACTGTGGCGGGGTTTCTCCATTCATATCGACAGAGATTTCATCTTTGGCAGCAGTTGATCATTTTTTCAATTCACAGCAGGCCTTAAAAACCCAGATACGGTATTTTCTGCCTCCCTAATGGTACAGCTGTTTATCTGTCACTAAGTAGCACGTCCAATCTGCCGGGCATTAATAAACAGTGATGATTTACTGCTGATGAGGTATCAGTACCGTGATTTAAATCTCAGCAGGTGCAGCAAAAAGGATTTCTGCTCTTATTTGCATTGGTGCAAATAAAGAATAGATCAAATTAAGTCATAACAGCAATAGCAATGGTGCAGGAGAAGGACTGAGAATCATTTTAAGTCTTCTGTTAAACCACTGTGGGGTTATTCCTATAATTACCATAGCAGACCCATAAACTAACCAAAACTTCCCAATAACCTGTGCTGGGTTTATGGCACTTTCAAAAGATATTACTTCCCAAGATATCCTTTTCTCATTTTTAGAGAAATGTATGTTTTATGTATGGCTTATGGATCTGACAATGCATTCCCATTAAAAAGATCTACAATACCATTATCATGAGAAGGAAACTGCAAATGTACTGTTAGTTTTCCCAGGTTTATGACACTGCAGATGTTGGTTTTTATTTTTGTACCAAATATTTATCAAATTAGGATCAGGAGAGGGTTTTGCCTCTTTGTAGTCTTGTAAAGCCATCTAATGTATGTTAAAGATGTTTCATTTTGAATGCTGGTTTTGCATTGTGAATAAATACTGTTGGGATGAGATGAAATGCAATATAATAAACTCACAGATGTTATGCTCCCCGTTTTATAACTTAAAAAAATGTATTGCAGGAAAACTGTGAATTGAACTTTAAAAAAGGATTGATCCTTAGAGGAAAAACTGTTTCTTATCTCAGTGGAATGTGTGTCAAGCCCAGGTCAACTCAACGTTAAATAGCATATAAGCATTTCATATTTTATTTCATTTGTGGACTGTAAAAATGTCATAAATGCTTGATATCAGAAGAGTTCTTTCTGCATCATTACATAAACATCAAGAATTTAGATAGTTTTAAGTTATGACATCTTAAAAAAAAATTCTCTTGATTGCTGTCTTTCTCATATTTTCTTGAGTGAAATCTTGAGCCTGGGAAAGTCTGTAAGATATTTTTTACTAACTTCACTTGTACCAGAATATTACTTCTAATACTTTAATTGGAACTAGGGAGACATCAAAATAAGGTTAAGATACATTTTCAAAAACGATTGCCTGAAGTTAGGCACCCACAGCTTTATTCCTCCACACAAGTGACCTGATTTTCAGAAATGCTGATGACAGTACAATTCCTATTAAACCATTGAGAACCGAGTATGTGGAGCTCACTAGAAAATCAGTTTACTTAAGTGTCCAAATATAGATGCATGTGCCTAGCTTTAGGCACATACGTTTGGAATTTACTTCATATCTTTTCTGGTACTCTTAACCAAAATACTCATTATTAAGTGAGTAAAACTAGTTCTTCTCAGAGTTTAAAAACAGAAAACTTAAATATCTACCAAATCCACTTTCCTACAAACAGAGGGTTTCACTCTTAAGTCCATTAGTTGTTAAGTACCTTACCAGTGTGATCATACCAGCCTTGATCTTTAGTAATAGAGTCTTTAAATATTTAAACCTCAAGATTTTGATAAATTTTCATAATTTAGAACTAATTTTTTTGAAAGTGAATTTTATCTTACTAGATGCACTGCACAAGCAATCTAATTGCAATGTATCTTTCATTCTAAATATGAAAATATCTGACACTGAAATTAAAAAAAATTAACACCATAATCCTAAGATTTGAAATCAGATCCTAATACTATGTCTGTCAAAAGCAATAGTGTTATGCTGGAATGTGTTTGAGTTCATCAGAATATGTTTATTGTAGCATTTAAAGAAACTTCAGAATCAGAACTCACTTTTTTTATTACTTATGATAAAGTATTAAAAAGAATGAAATAACTGATTTTCAGATAACTCTGCTATTGTCACTGTGGCAAAATATGCTCTTGTTTCTTTTTTACTAGTGAATTTAGCAGAGTATTTGCCAAAAGTAGAAATATAATGAGAAACTGACAGTCTGAGTCACTTTTCTGACCACTACACAGTGTAATCCAGTCTGATACTGTGTCCTAACTTATCTATTATGCCCAGATATAATGCAGAACAGATGTGAAAATTGGCAGTGCGTGCTGTTAGGTTCTGCAATACATACATAGACACGAAGGCTTAAAAAGCTTTTATATGAATCCACAATTAGGATTCAGTAAAACCCCTTGAAGTCGATTTTTTGTTGAACCATATTAATAGTTTATCAATAAACTCTCTCATTTCGTACCTTTCCTGTCAAAAAATTGGAAAGCTTAATTTTGTGATTTAGTTTCTTTTTGCAAATAACATATTAATAAAATCACTGTGAAAATGGACAAACATAAAAGCTTTCCTGGAGATCCTGTTCAGAGCTTTAAATCATCATCCTGCTTAATGCACCATTGGAGCAATCTACTGCAGCTCTTTCTTCTCGGGCTGGCTCTGTTCAGGCTGCATAATTTACCTGGACATCCACATTTGCAAACTCTGACTACTTGTCAGATGAAACTTGTTTTGTTAAAAATCAGTGATGTCCATCCACAAAACAGTCAGACCTTCAGCGTTCAACGTGTTTTATAGGCAAGTGGTGATTCACTGACTCTGTTCTGCCATGGAGCTGCTTGAACCATAAACATATAATATGTTTCGTGAATTGTTCATGCTTCATTAATCAGAAATTTTTGGTAAAATAATATTATTCAGCCCTTTTTAAAATAACAATGAAGCCTACCATTTTTGTGTGCCTAATACATTACTGTTGAAATTATCATCAGTTACTGTGAAATACCATAGAAACTGTCTAATAAATGTGATGGATTGTGTAATTAACTCTTGATCAGCACCGTTTTTCAAAGATGTTACCCAGTGAACCTGAGGGCATTTTATGACCTTCACACTGGGTATACACCTAATTACTCCTTGGGCAATAATTATTAAGTTTTTTTAGTCTCAGTTTGTCATTTTGTCTTATAAATTATTATGCTATTGAGCTGCTCAATCCATTTGGATATAAAACTGCAGCTCTCAGAGGGCTCCCTAAATTGTCTTGTGATTGCATGGATTACACCAACTTCATTAAGTAGATTACAGGGATATCTATTTTGTAGGTTTTCCATTGATCGGCACACTGACCTTGAGAGACAGTTCAACATTAACGCAGAAGATGGGAAAATAACTTTGGCAACACCACTGGACAGAGAAACAAATATGTGGCACAACATAACTATTGTAGCTACTGAAACTAGTAAGTATTTGTGTATACTGACTTTCAATTCTGTTGGTTTTACAATTAATTTTAACAGCGTGCGCAGTGGAAACTGTATATAACCCAGTAAAAAGTAAAACACATTGGATTTTTAAATTACAGAATTTTTGAAAGAAAACAATTTCTGCTGAAGTTCCATTTCTTTTAGTTTTGAAAACTGCATTTTTTTTCAGTGAATACAGTAGTATAGGATATGAAGAGATCTGTGAGTATATTTGTACAGGATATATAGGGTAAATGCTAAAAAATTTTTAAAAAACCCCAAGCCTAAATCTTTTTATTTATTTGGGTATATTAAGACAGAAAAACTAAAGCTTTTCTATTGTAGAAGTAAATTGTAGACTCAACCCAGGAGCTCTTAATGCTGAGTGATATTATATTTCAGTACCATAAATGATTAAGCAGATGGGTAATGTTGCATGAAAGTAGTCCTTTTTGATACACATGAATAAATTTACTCTTACACTGCTATAGATGAGAACATGGATTGTTTAGAAGCGCAAAAGAATAGTGACTGGTCTGTACACCTGAGTCACTGGGAGCCAGGAGTGTCACCCTCTCTGCAAATACGGGTCCTAGATTTTATCAAGGAGAACTCTTTATTAATTTGGAATTTTAAGTGCTGCTGACAGGATGACTTATGACAATATAATACATTATTAATATTAGCACTGTATTTTAGACTATACATTTGACATAAACATATTGCAGCAAAAGAACAGATTCAGAACATAAGTCTGCCCTTCCGTGTTGTCATCTTAACTGAAACACAAACTATGGAAATGTTCCTGCTGAGCAATCAGTGCGTACGCATAATTCCCATACGTGTATACACACTTGACACATTGTTGTAAGAATATTTTTTTTCAGAGCCTGACAATCAGTGCTGCTGTTCTTGCATGTAGAAAATAGAGCGATGTTAATGCTCGCTTTTCCCCAGTGTCTTTTTTAGAGCTTATAATACTATGATACAAAATTCTTAATGCTCAGTTTCTTAATGCTGTAGCTATGAACATAATGAATGTGAGGATAAAATACACTTATTTGGTCCATTTTTATTGTCCAGTATTTTTCTGTGGCCCTGTTTTTAAAAACAATCGTGTTTGGAATCTCTGACAGGTAACTGAAATGGCACAGGTAAATGAGAGACAGGTCTGAGTATAAACTAAGCTCTCAACTTACGACCCCTGTAAGCATGCCTATGACCTACCTTAATAATTTGTGTATTTCATTGCCAGGAGTGCAGTAGTGCCAAGTGCCCTGTTAAATCTTGCAGGCAAAGACTACTTCGATAAATTAGCGAGAATACTTTCTGCTTGCAGGAAAGCCAAGCTGACACAGGGAATCAAACTAAAAAGGAAAGAAAGCAAGCTGTGGTTTCATAGGGCATATTTTGACCAGGTTAATATATCAAAGCAATTAATAATGTTGATGTTTTTAAAGGAGAAATATATGAAATTTCCATGTCTCAGGACATGAGGAGTGTCAGATCAGGAGATTTACCAATGGTGTGGAAAGCAGAATTATTAGTTTGTGATCCAAAGTTTTCAGATATTGGAATAGTAAGATGTAAAGTGAAGCAATTTTACATTTTGTTTCCTCCAGAAAGTCAAAAAAGAACAAAATAAAAATAACAGTTTTTCAAGAAACTCCTCCAGTTCGTTTTTTGATCTCTTTTATTTGTGTGTGTCAGAGCAAAGTTAACAGAAGTGCACTTTACTAAGCCGCATCAGAATCAAGTCTGCCTGTTCCATCATCAGATTTTTAAAACATAATTATACTCAAGAATTTTGTAAGAAATCAGCCTTGTCATTAGACTTCATGGGAGCCTCAGCATCTATCACGATTGTAAAATTGCCTCTTATCAGACTGACTATGAAAATAATAATGCCAATCTTGTTCTAAGCATTTGCGTTAAAGGCTTATTTTTGCAGTCCTAATACAATTATTTGACATTTACATAAAACAAGAGTTTAATTTCATAGGCTACTATCTTCGCTTATTTAAGAGACATTATTTTTAAACTCCTCATGCAGAAACTAAATTTGTTCATAGAACTGTCAAGCAGAGGAAAGTGGGCATTTTAAAGATTTTTTTTCCAGCACAGTAATAAGAAAAATCTCTATTATAAAATAACAGAAATCTGTTGGAGGCAGACACAAGCAGCAAATGAAAATACAAAGTGTGTCATTACAATATTTTCACTGACAGTAACATTAATGGACTCTGATCTCTTCCATAAATATGTCAGCATCGTTCGTACAGGAGCATTTTCTCTTCCTAGGCTAGCTGCTTTCCAGGTTCAGCTCAAGGCTCATC